GAACACAAGCAGGGGGAGTGGGAGAGGGAGAAGCAGGCTTCCCGCAGAGCAGGGAGCCGGATGTGGGGCTCGATCCCAGGACCCTGGGATCATGACCTGAGCCGAAGGCAGACGCTTAACGACTGAGCCACCCAGGCACCCCTAAGACCCCATTTCTTACCAACAAACTAATATGAATGTTTGCCTATTTGGAGATACTACCTTAAACAGGCTTAATGATTTTAAATTACTTGGTAATGTTTTAGATACAACTCTCTAAAATTTGAGTACACTTTCTTTGAAAAGCAAAGGTACATAAAGCATATTGTTATATTACCTTAATATCACGAACTTCATATGCTATCCTGTGGTCAGTGACTCTATCCTGGGTGAAATTATATGTCCGAATTCTCTCTGACTGGGCTCTTGTTCCCACCTGTGCCATAACAAAAAGGTAATTCATATTTTAACTTTATAATTACCTTTATTACAATGGAAAACATACTTATAAATGACTTTCTATTATAACAGTTTCAGTTTTTTGAAAAGATTTTATTTATTTATTAGAGAGAGTGAGAGAGCATGAGAGGGAGGAAGGGCAGAGGGAGAGGGAGAAGCAGGCTCTCGCTGAGCAGGGAGCCCGATGCAGGACTCGATCCCAGGACCCTGGGATCATGACCTGAGCCGAAGGCATATGCATAACCGACTGAGCCACCCAGACGTCCCTCACTTTCACTTTTTAAGGCTAAAAAGACGTTTCTGTAACTTATTTTCTTAGCCCCTCAGGCAAATGGTATGAAACTGAATTAAATATGGCTGACCATCAGGAGAATTTTTTAAAATTAAAGATTTTAAAGTCTAATCTCGGATATACCAAAGCAGGGATCATGGATTTTTAGAACATTCCTCATGCCATCCATTCTGCAACCAGCCAGGTATGGAAACTACTATCCCAAAGCACCATATTATTGCCCAGGCTCCCACCCAAATCAATTATGTCAGACTCCTGGGGGCTGGGGCCTGAGGCATATACAAAGCTCTTCAGGAGATAAATGGAGCCAGGGTTGAGAACCTGGCATAATGCCTGCCTTATAAAAGCTACTATATGTATTAGTTGAAGCAAAAACTTCAACTAATTTTTTTTTCAACTGCAACTAATAGTTTTTTTCAACTAAAAAAACTAAGCTTAGAAATACCTACTAAGGGGCGCCTGGGTGGCTCAGTCTTTAAGCGTCTGCCTTCGGCTCAGGTCATGATCCCAGGGTCCTGGGATCGAGCCCCGCATCGGGCTCCCTGCTCGGCGGGAGGCCTGCTTCTCCCTCTCCCACTCTCCCTGCTTGTGTTCCCTCTCTCCCTATCTCTCTGTCAAATAAATAAAATCTTTAAAAAAAAAAAAAAGAAATACCTACTAAAAAGTTTCACACAGATGAACAAGTTAATTGGGAGGCATGGAGGTCTTTTCTGGCTCTTGAAACCAGAAATTTCTGAAGAGGACACACACACATAGACACACACACACACACACACACACACAATTTGCACCAGGCCAATCTTGAATTACTTACTTTAAAAATTACTATGTGAAACATTTGGTACTAAAATGCCAAACAGCAAGTAAATCCCAATGTCTTTTTTTTTTTTTTTAAGATTTTTATTTATTTATGTATTTGAGAGAGAGAGCACAGAGGGAGAGGGAGAAGCCGACTCCCTGCCGAGCAAGGAGCCCGACATGGGGCTCGATCCCAGGAGCCTGAGATCATGACCTGAGCCGAAGGCAGACGCTACACGACTGAGCCACCCAGGCGCCCCCAATCCCAATGTCTTTTATTAATTCAAATGTCACTGAGTTCTTAGTGTTTATGTTATCACTTATGTGCCAAGAGGCAATGGTTTGTTCATGAGCATTCCTATCTGTAAATGTATATACTGATGCTAGACAACAGTCTAGGATTACCACAGAGGATTAATACTCCATTAATCCTGTCACTTTTACTACTTGGAAGTTAGAATGTGGGTAAGGAGAGCTAGAAGGGCAAAAGTGTGAGAAGATCAGGACATCTAGGCAAAAAGAATAATTAATGGTTAAGTTTATATAATTCATTATCCTAAAAGGCCACAAAGTTTTCCAAATTTAGTGTAGCATACCCATCTGCAAACAACACAAAAGCACAGTTATTCCACTTTCTCTTCCAATCTCTCTCAAAGACCAACTTTACATTTCTTAGGATTTAAAATCCTATAATTTGTTTACTTAAAACAATAACATTTATTCATTTTGCTTAGCATTTATCTACATATTTGAATAAATAATACTAGACATTTATATAGTACAAAATTCAGAAAGTACAAAAGGTATATATAGTGGAAATAAATCTCTCTTTTACCCCCTGCCCCCACATCCCATCAGTAACAATCATCATTACCAGTTTTTTGCAGTGCCATTTACTTTTCACCCCAGAGTTTTAATAAAAAAGCATAGGTTTTTAAATAAAAAATCTGCAAATCCCTTAATTTCCAGGTAATTATTTTATTTTAACCTAATCTCCTCTCAAAACAGTCATGATACAAACACTGGAGGGAAACAACTGGGAAATAATTCTGAGTTTATGCATATCTCATGTATTCATTTGCAAGCTGGCATGTCTAAATTTAGCCATAATCAGTTAGTCCATGTGCATGAAATTATTGCTTATTTACAAATAAACCTGTTTCCCCCCTATGCTATAAGATATTCCCATTTGATCAAGAACAAATGCTACATTTTCTACATAAAATGATGACTTTGGGGCGCCTGGGTGGCTCAGATGGTTAAGCGTCTGCCTTCGGCTCAGGTCATGATCCCAGAGTCCTGGGATCGAGTCCCGCATCGGGCTCCCTGCTCTGTGGGAAGTCTGCTTCTCCTTCTGCCTCTCTCTCTCATGAATAAATAAATAAAATCTTTAAAAAAAAAAAAAAGATGACTTTGTGCAAAGGTATTATTATTTTTTATTTTAAGCAATCTTACACCCAACATGGGACTCAAACTCATGACCCCGAGATCAAGAATCACATGCTCTTCTGACTGAACCAGCCAGGGCCCCGCAGAAGTATTATTATGCTATATATATCTTACCTGCAGTTTTCTAGTACTTTGTTGCTGACACCTGTCTTTCTCAATCATCTGCTGGTAGAGTCTAGCTCTCAACACACGCAAAGCTATTTCTTTATTTTTAATCTGTGATCGTTCTTGTTGGCATTCTATCACAAGCCCTGAAAAATAACAAGAATCAAAGGTAAACTGTAGCCTCCAGAAGCCAAATTAAGATAGAACTGAGATCTCAACGATATATCACAAAACTGGAAAAAAAAGATAGATCTCAGCAACATTTGAAAGGGGGAAAGGAGGGTGCCTGGGTGGCTCAGTTGGTTAAGCGACTGCCTTCGGCTCAGGTCATGGTCCCGGAGTCCTGGGATCGAGTCCCACATTGGGCTCCCGGCTCGGCAGGGAGCCTGCCTCTCCCTCTGACCCTCTCCCCTCTCGTGCTGTTTCTCTCTCTCTCTCTCAAATAAATAAATAAATAAAATCTTTAAAAAAAAAAAAAAAGAAAGGGGGAAAGGATAATCAGGAAAAGATCACAAAGGATTAAACACAATTCAGACTTAGCATACTTTAGAAACTATACCTGAATCATGCTAATAAAAGCAGTAGATGGCTATTTCGATTCTGAGATCTGAAGGAGATATTTCAGATGAGAAGACTGGAAGCAGTAGCATCTGCAGATGGTTACACATACTTTCACACCCACAGCTCTGCCTCTCCCTCCCAGCTCATTTGGACAGACAGCCCAACACAGAGTCCCACCGCACGCAGTGCTGCTCCATTCTCTGTTTTAGTCAAGGAGCACTCAGCTTTCCGCCCTTAAGCCACAAATTTGCACAGAGCTGATGTTTTAAAAATGACTTGATACAACCCTAGTGTCCATCAATAGATGAATGGATAGGGCCGCCTGGGGGGCTCAGTCGGTGAAGCGGCTGCCTTCGGCTCAGGCATGATCCCGGGGGCATCGGGCTCCCTGCTCAGCGGGGAGTCTGCCTCGCTTTCTCTCACTCTCTCTCTAGTAAATAAATAAAATCTTAAAAAAAAAAACAGATGAATGGATAAAGAAGATACGGGGAGTGTGTATGTGTATAGATATATATTTATAAATGTATATATTTAGGAGTTGAGTTAAGATGGAGGAGTAGGGGGACCCTAAGCTTGCCTCATCCCTTGAACACAGCCTGATAAATATCAAATCATTTTGAACACCCAAGAAATTGATCTGAGGACTGAGAGCACAAACTGCATATCTACAGGTAGAAAAAGCCATCTCATGGAAGGTAGGAGCTGTGGAGAGTTGATTTGGGGGAGAGAAAAGCTGGGGGTGCTGCGGAAGGGAGGGAGCCCTGATCATGGGGAGAGAAGTGGGGGGGAGGAGAGAGAGAGAAAAGCAGCAGGCAGGGGATTGCACAAAAACAAAACCTATTCCCCAAAACCAGTGACTGGGAAAAGGAGAGGGGCTGACTACTGCTAGTTTTTATAAGCAGCGTGCTGCGGAAGGGAGGGAGCCCTGATCATGGGGAGAGAAGTGGGGGGGGGGAGAGAGAGAAAAGCAGCAGGCAGGGGATTGCACAAAAACAAAACCTATTCCCCAAAACCAGTGACTGGGAAAAGGAGAGGGGCTGACTACTGCTAGTTTTTATAAGCAGCGAAGCCCGAAGTCTGAAGTTTTAGAAGCTCTTGCCATCGATGGGGTTGTGCCTGGCGGGCTTAGTGCTGCTCTGGTGGGAAAGGAGGGTGGAGACCTGGAAGTGGGAGGCGTGGTCTGAGGATCCCCTGGTCCCCTTTTTGGAGTGCATCTGCGAGCGGTGGCATGGCCTTTCTGGGGACAGAAGAACTAGTGGCACCAAGGTGCATCCCTGTTCCCTATGTAGGAACAGAGACACCGGCTGAGGGCAACAAACCTGGGTGCTGGCTTTTAGCTGCGCTTTACCATAAACCGCCGTGTGGTTGTGCGACTGCTTTTCTAGGACAAACCAGAACCAGCTAGCATGGCGAGACCTTCCCCAAGAGGATCAGCGTGGGTCTGTGCCATGTGGATCCCTAAAATTTGGAGTTCTGAAACAGCCATGTGCCTGAGATAAAACACAGGAGTATTGTGCTGTCTAGTACGCAGACAGCTCAGATACAAACAGGGTGACGGCAGGGATCTGACGGAAGCCGGGGACACAAGAGGGGTGATGGTTTGCTCATCTGAAGAGTGCTGGTGCGAACTCCCTGCTCCAGGAGAGCGAGCAGGGCAAGGCCATTTTCTCCCTTGCCCATCAGCACTGACGGACTTCAGAGAGCAACACAGTGCCACCCAGTGGAGGCTGAAGCCACTTACACCAAGCTCACCAAGCTCACCAAGCTCTGGCCCCACCAAACCCTGGAGGTACATTTCCACTAGGGCAAATGGGCCTGCAGCACAGCAGGCCCCACCCTAGACCAGCACAGATCCTTTACAGGCACCAAGTCTACAGATCACAAAGTGCTGCAAAACTTCAGCTCTAGGGGAAATAGGATCTACCTTTTTTTTTTTTTTTAAATTTTATTTATTTGACAGAGAGAGCACAAGCAGGGGGAGAGGGTGAGGGAGAGCAAGAAGCAGGCTCCCCGCTGAGCAGGGAGCCCGACGTGGGGCCCGATCCCAGGACCCCGGGATCATGACCTGAGCCAAAGGCAGATGCTTAACTGACTGAGCCACCCAGGTGCCCCTGGATCTAGCTGCTTATAACAAGCAGGCCAAAACACAGCTAGTTAAAACTTGCCACACACTGGACAAGGTCCAAACACCCCTCACTGCAGGCAAGGAGAAACTGCAGAGGACTGACCTGAGGGAAGGAGCAGACAAAACACAACAGCAGAGTGCACACTCTGAAACACCTCCTGAATCTCTAGGCCCAAGACAGTATAGGACCTCTTTTTTTGCGGGGGGGGGGGGGGGGAACACCTCTTCTCAATATAGCCATTACTCTCAGGAGCAGGAATATAACAGGCTTTCCTAACAATCACAAAAAAACAGTGACCTAGACAAAATGACAAGACGGAAGAATTCACCCCAAAAGAAAGAATAGGAAGAAGTAATAGCCGGGATTTAATCAAAAGAGACAGAAGTAAGATGCCTGAATGAGAATTTAAAACAACAATTATAAGGATACTAGCAGGGCTTGAGAAAATCATAGAAGATACCAGAGAATCCCTTACTGCAGAGAGAAAAGAACTAAAAAACTAGTCAGGCCAAAGTAAAAAATGCTATAATCAAGATGCAAAATTGACTGGATGTGATGATAACAAGGATGGATAAGCACAGGATATAGATGTAGATGATAAAATTATGGAAAATAATGAAGCTGAAAAGAAGAGGGAAAGAAAAGTATTGGATCATGAATGTAGACTTAGGGAAATCAGTGACTCTTCAAAGCGTAACATTCGTATCATAGGAGTCCCAGAGAAGAAGAAAGAGAAAAAGGGGCAGGTTTATTTGAGCAAATTATAGCTGAAAACTTCCCTAATGTGGGGAAGGAAACAGACATCAAAATCCAAGAAGCACAGAAAATTCCTATTGAATTCAACAAAAGCTGGCTATCACCAAGACATATCACAGTCAAATTCACAAAATACACAGACAAGGAAAGAATCCTGAAAGCAGCAAGGGAAAAATGTCCTTAACCTACAAGGGAAGACATTTCAGGTTCCTAGCAGATCTATCCACAGAAACCTGGCAGGCCGGAAAGGACTCGCATGATATATTCAACATGCTGAATGGGAAAAATATGCAGCCAAGAATACTTTATCCAGCAAGGCTGCCATTCAGAATAGAAGGAGAGATAAAGAGTTTCCAAGACAAGCAAAAACTAAAGGAGTTTGTGACCACCAAACCAGCCCTGCAAGAAACATTAAAGGGGATTCTTTGAGTGGGGGAAAAAAAAAGACCAAAAGCAACAAAGACTAGAAAGGAAGACAGAACATCACCAGAAACACCAACTTTACAGGTAACACAATGGGCACTAAATTCATATGCATCAATAATCTGAATGTAAATGAACTAAATGCTCCAATCAAAAGACACAGGGTAT